TCCCCTGACAATTGCTGCATGCCCCCCCACCCCCACCCCCACCCCCCCGCACCGCCGCTGCTGCTGCTGCTGCTGCTGCTGCTGCTGCTGCTGCAGAGCGGCTGCGGCTGTCGGGCTCGCAAGTTGCTGCTGCACACCGCCTGTACTTAATGGCCTCGCAGCGGAACTTCAGTGTTGGCCGCAAAGGGCTGCTGGTGGCTGGGGCCTGTCTTTACGCCATTTGCCGCCGCGAGCGAAGCCCCCACTTGCTGGTGGACTTCGCCGACGCGCTGCAGTGACAAACCCTAAACCCTAAACCCTAAACCCTAAACCCTAAACCCTAAACCCTGAACAATAGGCAGTGAACAGTGAACAGGGAACAACCTAAAGGCTGAAGACTGAACACTGGACGCTGAACGCTGAACGCTAAACTTGAAACCCTTAGCTCTACAGACACAAACCCTAAACCCTAAACCCTAAACCCTAAACCCTAAACCCTAAACCCTTAGCCCTTTTCCACATTTCCTCATAGCTTCTGTTGACATCCTACGGTAGCAAACCCGGCACCCGGCACCCTAAACCCACTGTTCGCCCTAAACCCTAAGCCGACACTAAACCCTAAACCCTAAACCCTTAAAGCCTCCACAAACCCTAAACCCTTCACCTCGTCTCCGCATAACCTCCATAGCAAACCCTATACCCTACACCCTAGGTCCCACCGCCCCACAGCCTTCTTAATCTCCTGCAGCAACAAACCCTAAACCCTAAACCCTCAAACGGGGTTGCTTTAGAAGCAACTGCGCGCGAAGCTGCCGCTGCTGCTGTCCGCCGAGCTGCTGCTGCTGCTGCTGCTGCTGCTGCGCGTCTGCTGTTGTGCTGCAGCGTCAGCGTGCGCTCTCTGGGGCAGGTAAGGTGATGCTTAGAGAATATCTGCACAGCAGCAGCAGCAGCAGCAGCAGCAGCAGCAGCGCTCCGCTGCTGCAGCAGCATGACATGCTGCATCTGCTGTTTGTCCAGTCTGTGCTGCCGCCGGTGCTACTCTGCTGCTGCTGCTCTGCTTCTGCTCTACTGCTGCTCTTCTGCTGCTGCTGCTCTGCTGCTGCTCTGCTGCTGCCTGGCTGCTGCTCCCCTGCTGCCGCAGCTAGGCTGCTGCTGTGAGTGCAGCTGCTTCTGCTGCAGCTGCAGCTAGCGTGCAGCTTTGAGTGTGCTGCTGCTGCAAGCTTGCGGCTTTGAGTGTGCTGATGCTACTGCTGCTTCTGCTGCTGCTGCTGCTGCTGCTGCTGCAGATGTTCCTGAAGCTGCTGCGGGTCCTCCACGTGCAAGTTCCCCACATTGACCCCTCTCTCTTCATAGAGCGTTTCGCGCTGCAGCTGAACTTGGGCAGCAAAACGCAAACTGTCGCTCACACCGCAGTCAGGCTCGTGCAGGTCAGGCTGCTGCTGCTGCTGCTGCTGCTGCTGCTGCTGCACTGGAGGGTGCTGCGGCTGCTGCGGCTGCTGCGGCGGCTGCTGCTGGAGGCGCAGCGGGGACTGCTGCTGCTGCTGGTGCCGGGGTTGCTGCTGCAGCTGTGGGATATTCGGCGGATGCGGCTGCGGGTGAGGGTGCGGGCGGCCGTCGCAATACTGCTGCTGCTGCTGCTGCTGCTGCTGCCGCTGCTGCTGCTGCTGCTGCAGGCAATGAAGAGGGACTGGATTGCTACAGGGAGGAGACCCATGGGCCTTTGTGGGGCTGCGCTGCTGATTGCTGCTCGCTACCACGACATACAGATTGACGCAGAAGACGTGGCAGTCGTGGGTTTTTGCTTCTGCTGCTGCTGCTGTAGCTGCTGCTGCTGTCGCTGCTGTAGCTGCTGCTGCTGTTACTGCTGCTGTTGCTGCTGTTGTTGTTACTGCTGTGCTGCTGCTGTTGCTGCTGCAGTTGCTGCTGCTGCTGCTTCTGCTGCTGCTGCTGCTGCTTCTGCTGCTGCTGCTGCTGCTGCATGCCCCTCGTGTGTTGCTTCCAGCTGCAGCACTTCGTGTCTGCTGCTGCTGCAGGCTGTGCGAATCTCCTGCCCCACACTTTCCAAAAGGCTGTATGAGTTTAGGCGGACTGCTGTGGCGCAGCTGCCAGCAGCAGCTTTGGGGGAGACGGATTTGCTGCAGCTGCCGGCGCTGCCGCTGCCCCCCTGCCGCCTCACCAAGAAGAGGCAGCAGCAGCAGCAGCAGCAGCAGCAGCAGCTGCAGGACGGTGAGACAAGTCCCACGCGCGGGGCCTCAGCTGTACGTACACTTCAGCCGCGCATTTCTGCTGCTGCACTTTTCTGCTTCTGCATTTGCTGCAGGCAAGAAGACACTTAGTCTCGAAGACGGGCCTGTGGGTGCGCTCTTTGTGCTGCTGTTGCTGCTGCTGCTGCTGCTGCTGCTGCTGCTGCTGCTGCTTGTGCGCTGTTGTTGCTGCTGCTGCTGCTTGTGCGCTGTTGTTGCTGCTGCTGCTGCCAGCTCGTGGAGGTTTTGCGCTGCTGTGCTTCCCCTGCGCTGTCTGCTTGCTTCATTTATATTATGTTTTTTAATTCTTTTTATTTTCTTCTTTTTATTTTCCTTTTTCTTTTTTTATCTGCCCTCGCTTCTGCTGCTGCGTCATATGCAGCTGCGCCCTTTAGGCCATTTGGTGTGTGCTGTGCTGCTGTGCTGCGGCTTTCTGGCTGCAGCAGCAGCAGCAGATTCTGCAGCAGCAGCAGGTCCCGCAGCAGAAGCAGCAGCAGACCCTGCAGTAGCTGGGGAACCCGCAGCAGAAGCAGCAAATGGAGACCATCGGGGGCCCTCTGCTGCTGCTGCTGCTGCTGCAAATGAGGGCGCAGGGGCCCCAGGGGGCCCCCAAGCTGCTGCAGCAGCAGAAGGCGAGGGGCAAAAAGAAGCAGCAGGCGATGAGCAGCAGCGGGTGTGCAGCAGCAGCGATGCCTTGTGCAATGAGGTGAGATAATTATCTTTTTTAATTTTCTTATTTCATTTATTTTTATTTTTCTTTTCTTCTCCTTTTTCCATTTCCTTTTGCGTTCGTTTGTTCCTGCTGCTGTTTCCTCTTTTTGCTGCTGCTGCTCTGTTTGGTGCATGGCCTTCCACTGCTGCTGCTGCTGTTGCTGCTGCTGCTGCCGTTGCTGCTTGTTGCTGCGTGCTGCTGCTTGCCGCTGCGTGCTGCTGCGTGCTGCTACTTGCTGCTCCTTGCTGCAGCTGCAGCTGCTGCTGCTGCTGCCTGCTGCTGTTTGCTGCAGCAACCCTCCTCGGGCGACATTTTGTCTGTGGCGGGTTGGATCGTGGAGACCATTAGTGCCTCTCCTGCTGCAGCAGCAGACGCAGCAGCTGGCGCAGCAGCACCCGCAGCAGGAGACGCAGCAGCAGCAGCAACGACAGGGACCCCCGCAGCAGAGAGCACAGACGGCAGACCTGCAGCAGGACACGCAGAGACAGGCGCAGCAGCAGCAGCAGCAGCAGCAGAACCAGACGGGGAGGAAGCACTGCAAGCAGCAGAAGGCGGAGACCCTCTAGCAGACCTCCTCAGATCCGTTAGGGTAGGATGCCCTGCTTCAGCAGCAGCAGCAGCAGCAGCAGCAGCAACAGGTGCTGCTGCAGCTGCTGGTAGATACTCCTGTTGCAGCGGAGCCCGCAGACGCTCAAAAGGCTGCATTGCAGTAGCTGCTGCTGCCTCATTTGCCGCTGCTGCATCTCGTGATAGCTGCTGCAGCGGTTAGTCCCTGCTGCTGCTGCTGCTGCTGCTGCTGCAGAGACTACAGGCTACGTTGCTGCAGTTTGTTTGCAGGCTAGAGCTGATGAGTTGCTGCTGCCCACAGAGACACAAGGCCTGCCGACAGCAGCTAGCAGCGGTGAGGGGCGGGCGGGGGCCTGTGGACCAGCAGCAGCAGCAGCAGCAGCAGCAGCAGAAGCAGCAGCAGCAGCAGGGGAAGCAGCAGAAGGGCTGGAAGAGGAAGACCCGGAGGAGTCAGAAGATGGGCTCGAAGACATGCTGCTGAATGAGCACGAGAGAGAGGCAAAGGCCCTCATTTGGTAATCCACCTGCTGCAGGACCCCTTGCTGCTGCTGCTGCTGCTGCTGCTGCTGCTGCTGCTGCTGCTGCTGCTGATTGGCTGCTGCTGTGACTGTTTTGCTGGTGCCTCTGCTGGTTCTCTGCTGCTTTCTCTATTTCGCTGCTGCCTCTTCCGTTTTGCTGCTGCTGTCGCTGTTTTGTTGCTGCCGTCGCTTTTCTGCTGCTGCTGCTGCGGTAACGCTGCAGTTGCTGTTGCTGCTTTGTTGCTGTTGCTGCTTTGCTGCTGCTGCTGCTGCTGCTTCCCTGCTGATGGATTAGCGCAGTAGATGGCAGGTTCTGCTGTAACCTGTTTACCGACTCTGCTCCGCGCTTCGTCTTTGCTGCCGCCGCTGCTGCTGCTGCTGCTGCTGTTGCTGCTGCTGCTGCTGCTGCTGCTGCTAGGGATGACTTGACCCGCGACATAATGCCCGAAGTGCATCGGCGGCTGCGTCAGCGGAAGCAAAAGGAGAGGGAGCAGCAGCAAAACCAGAACAAGAGGTTTGTCTTTTTGCGTCTCTTTTTTTTTAATTTTTTTCTAAAATAGACTCCATTTCCTTTTCCCTTTATTTCTGCTCATTAGGCTGCCTCGTTTGCTGCTGCTGCTGCTGCTGTTGCTGCTGCTGCTGTTGCTGCTGTTGCTGCTGCTGTGACAGGCGCCGCCCACAGGCCCAGCGGAACGCGGCTCTTGCTGCTGCTGCAACTGTACGTACACCTCAGCGCTCGCAAGACACTTCAGCAGCAGCTGCTGAGCAGCTGCTGCTGCTGCTGCTGAGGTGTCTTAGGAGACAAAAGGGAAAGAAACAGAAGCAGCAGAGTTTGCTGCACCCCACAGCTGCAGCAGGGATAGAGAGAAACAAGAGTTGCCACAGGCTGCTGAGACTCTTGCGGCTGCTGCTGCTGGTGCTGCTGCCGCTGCTGCTGCTGGTGCTGCTGCCGCTGCTGCTGCTTTTCTGTCTGCGTCACGGTGCTGTCCGCAAGCTCCATGCCGCTTCTGCTGCTGTTGCTGCTGCTGTTGCTGCTGTTGCTGCTGCTGCTGCTGCAGGCAGCAGAGTCCGTGCGGCTCTCGCTAGAACGCAAGGGGAAGGGCCTTGCCCAGCGCATCGACGAGGAAGCCCTCGAGGCCCTTTTTGCTGCCAGGAAGGTCATAGAACCCTAGCAGCAGCAGCAGCAGCAGCAGCAGCAGCAGCAGCAGCAGCGGCAGCAGGAGCAGCCTGTACAGCTTTGGCTCCAGCAGTAGCAGCGCCCCATTTTGGCCGCAGCGGTGCTGCTGCTGCGCTGCTCCGAAACCCGGCAATGTGCTGCAGCTGCTGCTGCAGCTGTGCTGCAGCAGCAGCTGCTGCTGAACTAGTTTTCAAGTTTGCTGCCTCTGCAGCTTTGGGAGGCAAAGACACTTGCTGCTTCAGAGACTAAAAATGGCGGCCGCCAAAAAGCTAATGTGCTTGCTGCTGCTGCTGCTGCTGCTGCTGCTGCTGACGCTGCTCCAGTGTTGGCTTTTCTGCTGCTCTTGTTGTTGCTACACTTCTCGCTGCTATGCTTGCGACAGCTGCTGCTATTCTCTTTGCTGCTGCTCTCGCTGCTGCTGCTGCTACTGCTGCTGCTGCTGCATGTAGACGCAACGCTAAGGGATGGAAAGGCCCGCTGGGTTGGGTTCAGTACAGGCACAGAAAAACTTTACTGTTTTCGCTTGCAGCAGCAGCAGCAGCAGCAGCAGCAGCAGCAGCAGCAAGACTTTCGTATGTAGCTGCCAGAGCAGCAACGTCAGCAGCACAAAGCAAATGAGGCGGGTAGCTACCTAAGGGCAGATCCGGTAGGGCCCTTCGGGCTGCACGCGACAATTCTGCTTCTTCATGTGGCTGCTGCTGCTGCTGCTGCAGCAGCAGCACCTGGTGCTGCAGCTGCTGCTGGATCTTCCTTGCTTCCTTCGCTAGGATGGGTACTGCAGCAGCAGGCAACAGAGGCTCTGAGGGCAGCGGCTGCTGCAGAAGAGCTGCTGCTGTTTGCTGCAGCTTGCTGAGGTGCTTGTGCAGCACAAAGTGAGCCGCACCTAGGCCGGCCGCTGGTGCAGCAGCAGCAGCAGCAGCAGCAGCAGCAGCAGCAGGAGCAGCAACAGCCAAGGCTTCTGTGCGGGCGTCCTGCGTTAGGTGCAGCAGCAGCGGCAGCAGTTCCGCCACTGCAGCAAACAGCTGCAGAAACTCCCACAAAGACAAAGACAAGATATGCTGCGGCAGCAGCTGCTGAAGCAGCAGGAGGCTGAGGGGACCCACAATTGTTGCTGCTGCTGCAGCTGCTGCAGTGAAGTGCTGCTGCTGTGGCTGCTGCTGCGGCTGCTGCTGCACCGCAACACGCTGTAGGCGAGCTAAAGCGCAGATGCAGCGGACAAGGTGCCGCCGCGAGGAAGAGCTGCTGCTGCTGCTGCTGCTGCTGCTGGTGTTTGGGCTGCTGCTGCTGCCGCTTTTCTGCCGCAACTTCAGCAGCAGCACCTCGGCCGAGAGCAGCAGCAGCTGTAGCTCGATCTGAAACTGTTGCTGCTGCTGCTTCTGCTGCAGCTGCAGTTCCTTGGTTTGCTGCAGCACATGCTCCTGCCCCTGCGGCGCGAGCTCTTCTGGCTGCTGCTGCTGTTGCTGCTCCTTCTGTAGCAGCAGCAGCTGTTGCTGCTGCTGGAGCAGCAGCTGCTTCCGCTGCTGCTGCAGCTGCCGCAGCAGCACGCAGATAAGGTCTGCTGTTAACTTCAGCAGCTGCGGCAGCGGCAGCTCCGAGAGATTAACCTGCACCTTGCGGGCGTCTCCAGTTCGCTGCAGCAGCAGCTGCTGCTGCTGCAGCGTAGACAGACGCGGAATGAGTGCATGCTGCTGCTGCTGCTGCTGCTCCCGCTGCAGCTGCTGCATCAGCAGCACGAGGCTCCAGCAGCGCCGCAGCGTGCGGCGCCCAAGGCGTGTGCTGCATAAGCCCCCAGCTTTTCGGCTATCTGCTGCTGGTGCTGCTGCTGCTGTTGCTGCTGCTGCTGCTGCTGCTGCTACCGCTGTTGCTGCGGATTTATCCAGTGCGGAGAGTCCTGCTGTTGCTGGTGCAGCTGCGCCACAAAGTGCTGCCAATCTAGACAACTCTGCTGCAGCTGCTGCTGCTGCTGCTACTTCGGGTGGTGCAGCAGATGCTGCTGCTGTTTGCGGTGCTGTTGCTGCAGCTGTTGCTTCTGCTTGCCGTGCTGCTGCTCCAGCTATTGCTTCTGCTTGCGGTGCCGCTGCTGCAGCTGTTGCTGCTGCTTGCAGGGTTGCTGCTGCTTCTATGGCAGCTGTTGCGGGCTTGGGATCAGTTGCTGCTTCCGTTGCTGCTGCTGCTGCTGCTGCTGCAGCCCCCCCGCAGATCTGCGCTGCTGCTGCTGCCAGCTGCGCGACGCGCGCAGCACTCTGCCCAGCGTGGGGAGTGCCGGGCCTTGGCAGCTGCTGCTGCAGCTGCTGCTGCTTTCGTTGCTGCTGCTGCTGCTGCTGCTGCTGCTGCTGCAGGCGGCGCTGCGCCGTCCTGAGCAGCAGCAGCAGCAAGCCTGGGCTAAACACTTCGTGGAGCCACGCAGTGTCTTGCCCTGCCTCTAGCAGGTGCTTTTTGCTGCTGCTGCTGCTGCTGCTGCTGCTGCTGCTGCTTGCTGCCTGCAGCATGCGCTGCTGACCACTGGTCACGTAGAGCTGCAGCAGCTGCTCGATGTCAGCCAGTGAGGCTCTCGGTGCTGCGCGCTGCAGCAGCTCCTGCAGCAGCAAACAGAGAGGCCGCGGCAGCAACTTGCAGCTGCTGCTGCTCCCCGTTGCTGCTGCTGCTGCTGCTGTTGCTGCTGCTTTAAGTCCTTCAAGGTCTCTTCTCTGCTGCAGCCCGAAGAACTTGCTGTGGTGCATCTCCAGCTGCTGCTGCAGCTGCAGCAAACGGCTCTGCCGCCTCGTGGTGGCTCTGCTTCCGCGTTGCTGCTGCTGCTGCTGCTGCAGCTGCTGCTCTGCTGCTGCCACGTCGTGCAAGAATGCTGCCAATAGGGGGAAACGGGGCAGCTCCGAGGCGCCTTTAGCAGCAGCAGCAGCAGCAGCAGCAGGGCCCACTTGTTGCTGCTGCTGCAGCAGCAAACGCAAAACAGCAGCAGAGTGCCTCTTCACCTCAGCCACTGCCTGCAGCGGGAGGCCCGTGGGCATCGCAGCAGCAAATGCTGCTGCTGGCGAGGTCGGTGCTGCAGCAGCAACAGCTGCCGGTGAGTCTGCTAGCTTCGTTTGCGCAGCAGCAGCAGC